CCTTGATAAATTCTAATACTTTTTTGTTCATTTAAAATTTTTCGTAGAGTTCATGATTATTGAGATAAAAAATCGCAAAGATTCATTGCTTGAAATTGTTTAAATTTGAATCGTTTATAGCTCGTTAACAATCGAATTTAGAGAAAATTTGCAAGAGCACTTTTTTGTTTAAAATGACCCTAAAAACCTTAAAAAGTGAGTTTCAGGTCAAAAAGTTTAAATTTTTATTTTTGCAATGTTTTTACATTAACTTTTCTCAAAAACTATTTGGTCAAGTTTTTCCAGGTTTTGAGCCATGTTTTAGTACATACTGAACAATCATCTCCTAGTTTTTGAAAAGATTTTATCGATGCGTTTTTTTATAATCACGCAAAATAGCGTTTTTTCGACACGCTAGCATAGGGATCCCATGTTAAAGTACCGAACTTTGATTAATTATATTTCGGAAATGGTTTGGTTAAAGTTCCTGAAATTTCTCACAAATATGAAAAGTATTGTCAATAATATGTGGTTAAAATTTCAAGACCCTTTATCGATAGTCATTTTTTTGAGGGAACTACCTAGATAGCTCGACACTTGCGATTTTTTATCTCAAGACAAGAAAGACTTGAACGAAAAGACGCTATCCTACGAAAAAAGAATGTCGATAATATTAGTCAAAAGCTCCATAATTAGAATGTAATATATAGAGATCTGAACTTGTGTTTGCGCAAGTAGGGGGAAATTTTTAATAATTATTTGGAAAATGAATAAAAGGATAGAAATCTCCAACATAACCTCTGGGTATGTATGACTACAAATATTTTATAGTTTTACATTATACGATTGAGTACACATAACCAATGGCTTTTGCACATCGTCTAACTTTCATAATTTTGCTTTGTTGATTTCAGCAGTGGCCTCGCTCTCACATCAACGTCGTGTCCTCATATTCGAGATCTTTTCATGAAGGACATTTCACGAATTTTGACATTTCGACATACCACCAGGTCAACTAACCAACGAAGCAATTATCAAGTTCATCTATAGCTGTTGATCAGGCTTTACTTTAACGTTGATCGGAACGATCAGTTGGAGTACCAGTTTAAGCTAATCGCCTCTGCCATTGAGAAAACACTTCACCCCATTTATTTTTCGTTAGTACGCCTACATATCTCCAACGTATATACATGAGTTTTTAAAAATTCTGATTTATTTAGGACTTCGCTACTATGAGCACTACAACGTTAAAGATAGGAAAACCTGCCCAAATAATGGTATTTGTCTTATTTTTTTTTTTATTTATCTACTATGCGATGATATTACATATGTACCATCTATGGACATCGTGGCAAGAATCAATGCAGCCGCTGCAGGAATCGGTATGAACTCAAGAGAACATGCTATTTTAATAATTTATGCTTAAACAGTAGTAGTTTTCATGTATTACTCAATCAGTAAAAAAAACCTGTACTTTTAATAATCTAATATCGTGAAATTCGCTCACTCAGTGAAAAATATTGAAAAATTCTAATTGTTAAATTTCATATATTTATTCTAATAGATGCATCAAACAAAATGTTAGTCATTTTATAACGATTTATCACAATTCTGCGTAGACTGCACGACTAGAGATTAACTAAGCCAAATGATAATTTGAGGAGAGATTGACAAAGGCTGCAGAAAGGCTTAAAATACGTCGCGCTTACATAGGAAATACATATTTCATGTATTTTTTACTATTTTTTATTATATAACAAAATAAAATTTACTCTAACATGATAATTTTTATTAATACTTTGGAGAATATTTCTGTACGATAAATATTATTATTTTTCTCAAATATTTCAAAAATTCATACAGCTAAATGCGTTGGTTTAAAAAATAATTTTCGATTTTTGTTTGTTTATTTAATCAGTAAGAAACAAACCGCACGGTAGTCAGATCTCAATAAATTTTATACAGTTTTGGTCGTTGCATTTACCAGTTTAGCTCTCTGATAGGTTAACTTTTTTATTTAGTGAATGAATTTTTGGAAAATACCCTATCAATGCAGTCGTCTAACAATGAAAATATTAGTGAGTTTTGGGAAAAAAATTCTAAAAAAATTCGTCATTTATTCAACCGTTTATAGGCCCGAAGCTAACCTACGACCCATCATGGACAGGCCCTTTGAACGTAAAGCGGTCAAGTACTGACTTATACATTCTGGCTCCTTTTATCCTTGTTCTCGTCAATTGGGTCAGAGTAGCCATTCACGGTAAAAAATATCTACATCTCATACATGCCTGATACGAAATGAAATCAATTTACAATGTTGATGGTTAAATTTTTCATGCAGCTTTCGAGAATAGGGATTTAGTTCAAGATTATAATATCTTTTTTGATACCAGATTAGGATTACGTTTCGAAAAGTATAATGAATTATTATGCAAAAAGATATACTTAAGAATCCGAGAAAGCTAATCATGATTATAAAATTTCTAGATGGAACATCGTATGGGCATTGATACTTGCCGTTCTCTTATCGTTGATTTTTTTGTTTTTTTTAATAATCGCAACAAAGCTCATGAGTTATGTTTTCAATTCCGTACTTTTGATCATAGTTTTTGTCGCCACATGCTATTATATCTATTTGATTAGCGTTGATAAAAAACCACCGCTGGTGATAATAGTCATCGCGTTGATCATTTTTATGTTATTGGTCTTATTGGCGTTTTTTATAAATCGTCAATTCATCGCAAAGGCTTCTGAAATCATACGAGAAACGTTCAAGTAAGCATTATTATTTCATCGCATAATATCAATGTAATGTGACAGTTACGAATTTAACTCGTTTTCAGAGCTCCAATTTATTTCCCATTGCTCACTTTATGCTCGCTGCTGCTCTATGTGCTTACACTCGCCACGACAGTTTTTGGAGTAGTCATTAGCAAATACCTTTATTGGTTGCCTAAAACGTTTCAGTCACCTTTTGACTACTTCTGGAATCAATTAAGCAACTGGTTAGGTTGCATCTGGCTCACTATGTTTTATTTCGCCTTCTTTCGCGTGGTCATCTCCGGGACTTATGGCACCTGGTACTGGGCAAGGAATAAGCAAGAAGTACCAAAATTCACACCTATGCGGTTCATTTGGATTACTTTAAGGCATGTATGCGTACACGTAAATTAAATTTATAAATAAATCGATTAAAATTGACCCAAAGCAGATACCATGTGGGCTCTGTGATGGCTGGATCATTGCTCACGCCCATTGGCACAGTCATGCAATTTAGTGGACTGAATCATTCAAATTTTGCCGATCCAACAAACGGAGCCGATAATGATATTGATCAATGCATTATACGATTTTTTCAACGATGCTACAATCGCGTAGGGATGATTAATGATCAGGCTTATGTTTACACGGCTCTCCGTGGCCAGGGATATTGCGAGTCCGCCAAAACTGCCTTTAACATTTGGCGCAGAAACCACACTAAATTCGCCGCAATCGATCAAGTTGGTGACAACATTCTCTCCCACTCATGAAAGTAATGCCTAAACAATCATTATTAAACTAATTGACTTGACATTTTTTTCCTCTCGCAAGTTCATTCGCGAACTGATCTTTGTGGGCTTCGCCACGACCTCAATTCTTTCGGCGCTCTTGTACACGGGCTTGAAGCACACGATACGGTGTTCATGCCAGGACATGACGATAGTGCTGCTGGTTTTCCTCTCTATCAATTTGCTGATCAAATCAATATTTTTGCCAATTGAAGTGGCGATGGATACCGTCTTGACCTGTGGACTCGACGATTTTGAAGTTAACGGCAACAGCAACAGGCCTTCCTACATGTCGGATAAGTTAAAAGAGATGATTCTTGAGAACAGAAGCTCGCAGCTCGATTCTCTGTAACCTTCTAATGAAGCAATCGGGATCACAATTTCTCGCTTGAGTTCTGAAGACGAGCAAAATAATTAACCAAGCAATTCGATGGAAAACTAGATGTTTCACTCTTGATAAAAAAATAGACAAAACAATTGGTTTTCAAAGATAATTTCCAAATTTCACGACAAAAATAATTCAAATACTTTGAATTATTTCAATTAGGAATTTATCCTTTCCGAGTCTGAAATAAATTTTTAATTACGGTTTCGTCTGATAATTTCAAATATTTCTCATCATTTTTTACGTCGCGAACTCGCGTTACGTCTCGAAAATTTTAATATCGTGTACAGAGAACGCATGAATGTGGATCAGCGTTATCGTTTATCGGTTAAAGCTATATTGAGTCGCAGGAACTTTGCTTCATTTCCGTATGAAAGAAGTGATTGTCCGCTGAAATCAGCCGTCTGAATCGGTACAAGCGATCGATAAACATCGATCGAAATCGGTATTATTTATTTTTTTTGTGTCGCGTACCGAGTTCGCATCGCGAGCATTTTCCACGCGCTTTCATGCGCGCACAATGACAATAATACCTGCGTGCGTTGTTATTCTCACGCACTGCAGTGTCAAGTTTTTTAACGAGGCCATTCGCACGTAGCTCATCGACTCGAAATTCAAATTACAATTGCGCGAGATGAATGATGGAAATTTTAATGTAATAAAGAAAAACGTTCTGACGTATTATCTTGTCGCAATTCGAGATTCGATTTGACATTCATCTGAAAAGCTGCGTGGAGGTTTAGAAAATTAGAAAATGAAGACATTCAAATATTTTGTCAATCATTCATATTTACGCTATTAAAACGCAATTGCGGACAAAAATCAATTTCGATAACGCGGTACTGTTTGTTCGCGCTCAACATAGGTAAACATGTTTTCTGCGGAAGCTCTGTTTTTTTCACGAAGCCAAGCGCCACTCATTTGGCATATGATACATGAAAATTCGCTTAAAAAAAAAAAAAAACAAAAGGTATTGTTCTCGATCAGCTTTTGTCCAGGTGTATAATATAAAATTTCGCATCGACACACGTGCATATATTCAAACTCGTATCGCACCAGCATCGTCCCAAATTCACGATTCAACTCACCTTGGCTGATATCGTAATCCGGTCGATGATTCGCAGCCGACGACGACGACGACGATGAGGCAGTGGTGTCAGTGGTGGCGCTGGCTCGATTGCGCGCGGCGAGAAACAGCGAGACGCTTGGATAAAGGACAATGGCAGGAGACGCCACGGGTCGCAGCAGTAGCAATTGCTGCTGAGGCAGGCCCAATCTCTTGGACAGTACAAAGAGTCGTCGTCGTTGTAGTTTTTGTTGTTGTTGTTGCTGCTGCTGCTTGTGGTGTTGATGATGACGATGGTGGTGCCTTTGGCGCAGATCCGCCAGCACTCAAGAGTCCGGACTGATCGGCCTAGACGACCAGCTGCGCGGACGGGCCACTCGACCTCGTTGTTCCAGCTCTTGTTCCGCTTCCGACGATGGTCTGCTGCTGCCGCTGCTACGTTCCATCCTCCGTAGATATGCTCTCCACTGAGGGGCTACACTTTTATATGTATACGTATAATGCCCTCCCTGACTCGAGCTGCGCCGTCTGTGTGAACAGAAAAAAAATACATATGAATTGCTCGATGAGCTCGTAGACGCCGCAGACACTTTCGTACAATAGCTCGCGCGGCTCCGCGCAAAGATTCGCACTCGCGAAGCTCCCTTTTTTTCTTGCATAATACTCTTTCTACCTCTGCTCGGGAGGTTAATTGCAGCTTCTTCTTTTTTCTTTCCTTCCTTTTTTCTTTTGACATTCGCACGCGGTAATTTTCAATGCACGACCTGCGGGTCAATCTCCAACTCGTCGAACCGAGGTTCAACGCGGGCGCGGCAGCATAATAATACGTACACTCTTACCTATGTATATATGAATAAAGCGTGTAAGAAAGAAAAACAATGCGAGAAAATGATCACGGTGACGAGCTCAAGAGGTCGGAAATACCGAAAGCTCTCCGAGACGAGCGCTTGCACCGGATGAAAGGAGCAGCGCGTGAATGATTTTTCTTTCTTTCTTTTATACTGTATACCGAAAAATGCCATAGCGCAGTGATCATTATCTATCGTGCAAAGCAAATCATCGTGTTTATTAAAAAAGAAGGGGATGATTTTTACAACTAAATTTTAGTTACAATTTGAGACATTTCAGGGCACGCGCTACCAAGCGCAACATCTTCCCATATTACTTTTCATCTATTACATTCTCAACGTCGATGCAGCGTACTAGCATGCTTCGTATAATGCACGAAAGAATTCCAATAACTCGCACGCTCGCGCTGCATTTAGTGAGCGCGGCGCCTTTATTATATAGTAAAGAGGGGAAAAAACGTAGAAAATAATGAAATAAAAAATCTCGCAACCGAATGAAAATCTAATCAAGCGTAAAGAAAAAACGATTTCCATATCTAGTGGCGCTTGCTCGTCGAGCTTTACACTATTTATCTTCGGTTTATATATCGTCTCGCGTGAAAATGCATCGCACACCGTAAACGTCAGCGGATTGATTAATGAAAAAGATGAAGCGGAAAATGCAAAGAAAATACTCACGAGCCACTTTTTGCTATTATTACGAGAAGCGCCGAGCGTCAGCATAAAGCGAGCCAGAGTGATTCATTCACAATGACTGGTCACATAAATTCTTTACTATGCACTTTGGACCGATTAAAAAGTAACTTTTCTCGCGGTCTCGAGCTATGCTTTGCTCGCACACGTCTCCGAATTTACATCCATGACTAGCCACGCGCATATGAAACACTTGAGAGCTCGAATGTCGTTCGGCGCTCTATTCCCTTTGACCCGCGATGAAGCTTTGGCGCGTCTGTGATGCTTTCTTCGGCGCGACTGCACGGCACACTGCCCCCGGCGGCAGATCCCATCGTGCGAGACGCGGCGGCAAGCCAATATCTATACGCGGGACACAGTGCAGCAACTGACTGTGCAATACAACTTGCGACCGTCACCATGATCGCACGGCACGCCTTCGTCGCAACACTTCCACATATAGATATCCCTCCTGCTCTTTATTCTCTTTCGCTTGCACCTATTACTCGTAGGCATTTCGTACGTTGTAAGCATGTCTCGTTTCGTCGTGATAACTCTATTTACCCCCCAACCCTCTGAGGAGATTTCAAGCTCGATTCAAGCTTTTGATGCTGTATATATTATGATGTTGAGCATAGCAAAATTCTCATAATTAAAATTTGATGATGTTCGTCATATTTTTTGTTTACAAAATCTGATAATCGATGACTTTGTCGATCGTTGTAAAAGTTCAGTAGTACATTTTTTGCAGAATTTTACAAAGTTTAAGTGGTGGCGAATTGCGAATTATAAATCGAATCAATGCAGATAAAAATGAGTCATGACGATGAAATTTTATTGTTCCGTTTGGGGATTAGGAATAAGCACCTTCAGCTTATCCGACATGTAATGAGGCCTATCGCTATTGCCGTTGACTTCAAAATCTTCGAGTATGCAGATAAAGATGGTGTCGATAGCTACTTGCAACAAATCCAACATCCAATACACCGTCCGCAAAATGATAAAACAAGCGAGCAGTTGAGCCCATGAGCTCTGAAATTCTTCCATTAACGTAATCAACAATACGGCCTTGTACAAAATACAGGAGACGCTTACAATCGAGATCACTAACAATATCCACTCACAACAAATCTCCTGAAAGATAGACCAAACACGAGCAATTATTGATGTTGAATTATATTACACCAAAAATGAGAATATTTTACTAACTCCGTAAATTTGTTTGGCTCTCTTGTTTCTATGCAAAAGATTGTTGGAGATCCTGGCGGACTCGAAGAAGCTTGTGCCGTGGAGCATCATATAAGCTTTAGCCATGCCTTCGTTTACTGGCATGAAACACGAACCAAATGTTGAAGTGCCCACGTAGTATCTGCATTAAGTCGATTTTATTTTACTTATTAAATAATCACACGAAATATCATGGCAAAATAGCATGTGTGAATATGTGCCTCAAAGTAATCCCGATAAACCGCATAGTCGTGAATTTTGGAACTTCTTGCTTGTTCCTCGTCCAGTACCAAGTGGCGTAACTCCCAGAAGCGATAAGCTTCAAGAAGGCGGATAGGAAGCAGTTGAACCAGATCAAACACAAGATTTCGATGATATAATTGATTATGAGAAACGATTCTGGTAGTCCATCGATAGATTGAAGTGACCACTGGACGGCAATGCACACACCTGCCATTGCGAATAGGATTGTGTAGACCAGCAGCGAGCAAATAAAAAGTGACGGGAAAAACACCACAGCTCTAAAAAAGAGCATTATTACAGTCTATACTGGTTTTACAAGTGGGCGATGAAAAAAGTCATAAAGAGGCTGCTTACTTGGTCAATTCTTGTATGATTTCACAATTCAATCCCCTAGATAGAGCTAGTTCGCAAAGCATAAAGAGCAGAATCGCGATAAATATGACAACCATAAAAATGTTTCTACAGAGAAACCAGATTTCATCAAGATTCCACTGTTTCTCCCACGACATCTCCACTAACAAATATATGAACCAACTTAGGGCCAAAACCATCATTGTTATACGTAATAAGAAGGATATGTAAATTGTTGCCTCTGCTCCGATACTCAGCAAGACGAGACACAAAAACGATGATAAAACAGCGATTAGCAGAATCCCTATTATGATCCATCTAAAATTTTCATAAAAATAATTAACCCGTCTAGTTTCGTAAATTTTCATACAAATTCACTATCACCTAACATCGTATAAATCATTTACGGAGCTGGACAAATATCTGCTGGGATCAGAATCACTTGTAGAAGAAAAAAATTTTTTTAGGTCGCCAAACATGAAAGCTGTACGAAAAATTTTGCAATCAAGATAATTATAAAATAGGTAAAGGAATATAAAAAATGCAGCTTTATTTACCATAACAGACTACACCAACCCAGTAGATGAAAAGAATAATGAAAATAAACAGACCGGGTAAGCTGGTCATTGATCGTTTCACGTTTAAAGGTCCTGTCCATGATGGATCGTAGGTTAGTTTCGATCCTAGAAATCGTTGAATAGTTGAGAAATTACGATTTTTGCAATTTCGACATAAACTTTTTCTCAAAAATTACCGTAATCTCGATTCTCGGAAAATCTTCTAGTTACGCTTTCTGATAAACCATATAGAAATTCTGGTGAACCATACGGATAACCATAACCATATATATACGGAACGTATAGATTCGGGAAAAACATATTTTCTGCGATCGCTAGGATGAACACGGTTATATATTTGTAGAACCCCTTAACCTGTATCAATTGATGCTTTTCTCGGAATTCATCGCATGTTGTTATTTAAAAAACAAATGCCCAGTCAAGCGAAGTCTTTATCTTTTCAGTTTAATTTTCGTTCGATTTTGTGGTAATAAATGTATTGACAGATCTTTGTAAACGTGTAAGGAGCTGTTGTATGGGACAGATAGATGTTATGTCGGAAAAGGCCGTAATTGATTCAATTTATTTAGGATGTTGTGACCCCCTTATACTGGGTGTAAAATAATTAAATTGGGATATAACAATAGATGAAGGTTTCATTACGTTCTCGATCTTCATTTTTTAGGCCCTTATGTCATTCTATGAACTTTTTATGTAATTCTGAATTCTTTATGTAAATTTCAATAATATGTTTTTTTTCTTACACAAGAAAAATCTTGCCCGGGTTCTTTACTAGGCTCGTTTCTTTAGCTGTTGCCTGCTACAACGAAAATTTTGATCGACTTTCATCTCGTTCTATCCACTTTCGAGGTAGACAAACGAGGAATACAATCGTGCCTATCCGCACAGCTCAAATTTTCCAAGAAAAGTTACATTCAATTTCGAGCATCATGAAAGGAGGAGAATGAAAGAGATCGTTCTTACCCGCGCGCGCACGTGTAATTATATGCATATGTGTGCATTTGTTTTCGTGTACATACAAGCACGCGGAGCCGACATTTTCATTTTTTATTCACGGTTCAAGAGCTTGAGCTCGAAGTTGGGTCAACGAACCAACTTGACCTATATAATATTACATAATATGTATATAGCACGTATAGGCTCGGAGACGCGCGCTTATGCCGCGAATTCATTGTGCTCGTGAAATGTATACACGACGTTTTGAAACAATAGATTGTGTGTCGCGCGACCATCCACTCAATTTGATTGGAAGAGAGGAGTTTTGGCGACGAGCGCCCCCGCGAGGCCTGCCAAGCTCGATTGTTTCATTAACTCGATATACACGTGTACATATGCGATCATAAGCGCATACGAATATAAATATACGAGTAAATGCATGTACACACGTTCAATAATGCCGCGTCTCTTTATCAGAGCAGTAATGGAATTACGTATACGCTAGTGCGAGAGTCGAAGGCTATAGCGGCGATCGTTGGGCGCGCAAGTTCGTGCGACGACTGACTGCGTGTGCCGCGTACTACGTATCCCGTCGTCATTTTAATTTCATTTCTCTACGGGGCCTACAGTCGGCGCGAAACTACAATACACGTGCTGTACTGATGCATATTGCATGCACGCGTCGTGGGAATATTTTTTATGCACGTGTATGCTGTGGCATATGCGATATACGGTTAAAAAAGCTCCATGCGCCCCCGCCAGTTCCATGTATACTGCACACGCCGATGCATAATACGTTGTGTACTACGTCGCGCAGTTTTACTCGCGAAACATCAAATATTCAATTTGGGCGCTGCGAACTCACGCAGTCCCCTCATGCGGTGTGTATACATTTATTACTCGAGTCTTCGGAGATTGGTGTTGCGAGCTGCTGCTCCACCGCGTTATAAGTCGCGCGTAATAATTAATATCCGATATCGCACCGCAAGTCGCGGCGAAGGAGAATATTTCGCACGGGTTCGTAACGATCGAGCTAGTTCCTCGCCGTTTGTTTGTAGCTGAGATCTGCCCATTAATTTTTTATATGGTCTGAGCTGCTTTTGTACAATTAAGGAGAGCGTGACGTGCTCCGAATGGCAAGTGTGGCAGACGAGTATACTTAACTTCATATAGTAAACTTAACTTTACTTATGACTCTACTTGCCTAGCCGTCTCAATCAAATTCAAAACCAATTTATAATAAAAATTCACAATAAAGTTAATGATCATAAATGAAAACATTTAGTTATTCGACCAAAAAAAAATTTGTGAAAATCACGGACTACGTGATATGTAAGATTTGTATGATAGATGACTCTTACCAATGTTATTATTATTTATTGTATTACAAACTTTCATTGGATTAATAGTTTGAAAAATGAAAATTTCAGTCATGCTAAATAGTTGTCGCCTTATTTGATTTCATTATTATCATAGCTAAGTAATTAATCAAAAGTGGATTGAGATTAAAAATTCCAACAATTCAAAAAGAAAGCTTTTTGGTGTTAAGCTCAAATTATAACGATCAGACTGTCATATTAACCCCTATTTATACTTTTGAAAAAATATTACCACGATTTTGAATCATTTAATCGCAAACATTTCAATAGGCTTATAGTTTAAAAATTGAAAATGATACTTTGAGCTGAAACTATTTAAAAATTTAATTTTCAAGGTTTTAAAAGTCATATCGGCATAACTGGAAATTTACCACAGAATTATTTATCGTATCAAATGATTTTTTTTATTTCAGCGAAGCGCAAAGGGAGAAAAATTTTAAATATGAGACGCGCGTGACAACACGCATGGAGCCCGCGGCTGTAACCTTTTAAATTTTCATTTCGTTTGAAATGCCTTTCTACGATTTCGAAATAAAATTGAATATGATTTTCAATGCTCAATTATTTCTCAGCTGATTGGTAGTTGATAGAAATGAGCGCTTGGGGAGCAGGGTAAGGCTCGGCTATGTTGGGTTCAAGGCAAAATTTCAATAGTCAATACACAATCGCATATCGCAATATCTTTAATATTATTTTTTTCATTTTAAACAAGTTTATTTTCCGGGCGTATGACCATGGCGGGTTCAAATAATATGCTTCCTTTTGGCAGAGAAAGGATTAGCAATTTAGGTGAGTTTTGCGAAAATCATGAGCAAACCTAACCTTGACGATCTCTCATCGAAACTACCAGGAACGAAGATTTCGTACGATCCAACATGGAGCAGTCCGCTGAACGTAAAACGAAAAGCAGAAAACATATCCTTCACAGTTGTTTATTACTTATTTCTCTGCCTATGGGTGGGAGTAGCTGTTTACGGTATGAACTTTTTTTCTCTTTTTTGGCGCACGATCATTTAAAAATGTCTTATCCATACCTACACATAAGTTTGTGCGTATGCGTGTTTTACGACTGCCAACATTAATGACTTGATATTATGACTTGAAATGATGGTGTAATTTTTCGTTCAGCGTTGGTGACCGGCGACGCGGAAAAGTATAGCGACTTCTACCGTGACTCTAAAGATCTTATCTTCAAAGAAGGGTAACACAAATTCACACACGCGTACAAAAGATTTTTTTACAAATTGGCATGAATATTTCAGATGGATCATAGCGATTGTCCTCCCGTTGGCTGCATTTTTATCGATATTGTGTCTGTTGCTATTGAGAGTCGCCGCGAGGCCCGTGGTTTACACGATAATAGCCTTGTTTTTCATAGGCCTCTTTGCACTTGTGATCACCTTGGGTTTTTTTCTGGCTTACCATCAGTCAAAATTATACATTACTTTGTTCGTCTTGTCAGTTCTGGTGCTGATCCTCTTGTTGTGGCTGTTCATCGTCAAGAACAAATTCATCCCGATGATCTGCGAAATCATTCGAGAGGCGTCCAAGCGAGTGTCATCCCAATCAATTCAAAATACGAATCGATTCTGAATTTCGTTTTGTTCTTTTAGAGCTACGCTGGCCTTTCCGTTGATGTTTTTTTACGCAATAGCCTACATTGTCGTAAGCGGGGGGTCTCTCACATTTACCGTCTGCTTGATCTTCTGGATCAAATCGATCGGCAGGGACGACTACTATCCAGGTCACTTGGTCCTCTGTCACCTCGTCAATGGCGTGGCTCTCGTCTGGATCCTCTGCCACATTTACGGATTTTTCAAGATCAGCGTGTCCGGTGCTTACGGCACCTGGTATTGGACCATGAACAAGAAGGAAGTGCCGAAATTCACCACATTGCGCTTCATCTACATCACCTTCAGGTACACCATAATTATCATCATATCGTCACAACGACGCTCGCACGCTAGAAATGGAATTCGAAGTCTGGAAATGTATTTATTCGTATAGATACCACATCGGCTCGACAGCTTTAGGCTCGGTGATGATAGTGGTGTGCACCATACTGCAGATCCTGCTTGCGTTTGTTTTATCGCCGCCCAAAGACGACGGGACTCCCAGTACTTGTCTGTGCAACTGCGGTTTGCATTGCTGCGACACCTCTATGTCCATCTTCAAGTCCGTCGTCGAGGCGGTCACCGACAAGGCTTACGTTCACATAGGGAATCACGGCACCGGCTTCATCGATGCGGCCCGAGAATCGTTCACTCTATTCAAAAGAAATTACGCGAAAATCGCCGTTCTCACGCAGGTAGACATTTATCTTTCCATAGTAAGTTTTAAAAATCAAACGTACGCACAATTATTAATTGAGGAAATTCTTTTTAATTCAAAGATCGTGGGACTATGGGGCATTTTTACTAGCGCAACGATCACAGCCTTGTCTTTTCTATTATTTTGGGGATTACTGCATACGCAATCGGTCAAATTAGAAGAAAGATTAGGCCTATTGACCTGTTTTTTGGTTTGCATCTACTTCACGGTCGATGCAATAGGTCTTTTACTGATGATAGCTACCGACACAATCTTCATGTGCGTTCTCGAAGATTACGAAATGAACGACGGCAGCTCGAGACCCTTCCACATGTCCAATAAATTAAAAGATCTAGTTCTCGAGAATAGACTGGAGTAAAATTTTCATCAAGCATACAAAATCTGCGTCACCCACGAGGAATGAAGTGGACTTTTTTTTTTAATTTTTCACCAAAAATTACTTGATTAAGAAAACATCTACTAGTCTATTTATTTGCTTATCCTTACATAAATACATACACTTATATTTCAGACAACCTGTACTGTAAAATTGTACTCTGTTCTTTGGGAACTTATTTTTGTTTTTTATCACATCATTGTAAATTTTCGTTCCTTTTATCTACTTTTCTTTTACTGAACTCCGCTGATAATGTTCAAAATAAAAGTGCGAACATTTTTAATGGATACATTTTACTTGCAATAAATTTTGATATAATAGTACAAAAGATGTTCATGAATTATTAATCCCTACATTCTGCTACAAAATGTATTTTTTTAAGTTCATTTTCAAGTCAACAGTTCGTTGCTAAAAATCTACCTTACATTTTTATCATTTTTAGGTCGATAAGTAAAAAAAAATGCAAGTTGCACATGCGTGCCTTAATAAAAAAAATTTTTTTTTAGTCGGAAAGTTAAGTTTCTCTGATTTTCACATATATCACGTATAGCAGAGACTGTAAATGAAAGCCGAGCTAGTTTTACGGCTGCGCTAGAGCGCTATAAAAATCCCATTTCCCTCCTTCGTGTGGGTATATTGTGTATAGATACGGCTTCGCATCGAGACCGCGTCGTACAGTTTCAAGTGTACAAAATGAACAATTGCGATATAGATTTATCCCCTGCGTTCTTATTGAAATTAATTGGACTTGGCTGCTCAAAGGCAATACGTTTGAGTGTACAAATAAGAACAAGAAAAAAATAAATAAGTAAAAATAAAAAGGCAAAATTGATACGGAGAAAAATTCAAAGTATCGGCTCCAGCTGGGTGTGCGACAGTTTCCAAGTGAAAGTCGCGCTGATACGCGGACGATGCGACTTATTTACGAGAGCTGATAAGATATTGCAAGCTCCGTGCAAGCTATTGTACTATACCTATATAATGTGAGTGTGTACTACGGAGCAGCAGCTACCTATATATAAGTGCCATGTAGCACATGGAAAAGTGGAGCATCGACGTTTCGAAAGACCTCAAAAAAGGTTCCATCTACGCTTGAGCTTCAACGTCCAGATGGGTTTTATTTTTCAATGAAATTCTCTTTTAATGCTTTTTTAGATTATTCATAGGAAAGAATCGAAGATGAGTTAATTCGGGAAGAGATTGTATTAGTATCTGCTCTCGCGAACGAGTACTGTGGGTTCATATAAATTTCAAGTATAGCGTTTCGTCTTGGATTTCAACGGAGACGAGTTCATTGGTTGAAAAGACGGTTAATTCGTGTCAATACTATTTGAAAAAACATAAATTTTACACTTCTCTTCTCGGTCCTGCTTCTTGCTTGAAACAAAACTAAAGACTGTGTTTTTTGTATATATTAATGTTTTTTTCTGAATAGTTAGAGTTAAAATCTAATTAATGTCTGTGAGATATACATATAATAGCATTAAAATTATAAATTTACGCATTCTAGAGTAATAGGGCCCCTCACGATGTGACAGAAAAAAAAATGTCAGGCAATTTATAAGGCAAAAGCGCTGAAATTGAAATCAAAAGAAACTCACCATAAAGCCAAACAGTAGTCTCGCGGATGGAGCGGCAGTAATGAACACCTGCTGATTGGCAGCTCTTCTTATTATGAGAAAAACACGATCGTCGTTGATGGAGGGCTGTGTACGGAGATGCGAGAGAAAACTCTTCTTTTGCGTCACCGGCAGCGACGACGACGACGGCGGCTGCGACAACGCGTCGTTGTTGACATATCACACGCAGGAAGGACTACCGCCTCGAGCGCAGCGACGTCGATCACACGACGAGGCTCATCGCGCGAACATCGCGAAAATCTCTCGTCTGTATGCAACCGCTGTCGCGAGAAAGTCCGAACTTTCGAATATGCTCCTGCGCCGGAGATCGTCGGCAGCTCTCTGTGCAGCTCGCGAGTTAGACTGTTCTGACGCTGTAGGCTACTCTTTTGGCGCACAGCTGCGAGGCAGCAGCGTCGAAAAGCACATATATATTACATACACACAATCCGCGAGAGCAGCACAGCTGATGTTGCACAGCTGGGCAGTGTGCGCGACGAGTACATCTGTATGTATATGTATGCTGGTGTCGGTACACTGCAAGCGCGCGGGAGCTTGCGCGCAAGCTTGGCCCCGAGCGAGCGCGCACGACGACGACGACGACGACTCGTGTTTTTGGGCCGCGCGCACCTCCGTGACTATGTGTGTTTGCCACCGCAAGCTGCCACAGAAATGAACTCGCGCGCGCACCCATCGCCGCGACGACAGACACGGAGAGCGAGTTCGAGAAGAGGAAAGAGGAAAAAATAGTGGGGTCGAGGTCAGGCCGTTGCGATTTACGCTCGCGAGCTTGTGTATTATATGGCTTAAGCTCGGATATCCTGCTTTCTCTCTCTCTCCCTCGAATGAGTTAGTAATGACCGATGAGGGGTAGGACTGGGCTGTGCTTTTGCCTGTTGACGATTTGTACACTCGCGCACACACCCGAGGCAGGCTGGTATAGGCGAATCTAGGGATACGGATTTTTACGATTCATCCAAGTAGCTCGCTGAAGGATTATTGTCGCGACTTTCATTCTCATAACGTTTTCTTTTTTCACTTTAATTTCTTCATTATTTACTTATATAGCTAGTTTTCTGTAAACAGATGTGTAAAAGTATGCACTCGGTATTGAGATGACGTTAGTATAATATTTCCATTTCCAATTTGGTCAAAAATTTAACAATGTCGTTATCGTAACGATGTTTACAGAATAATTATTTACTTCTGAGCAATTCATGAATTCATTCTATCAATATGATTCGATCCAAGTATCAGATTAATTTTTAGTGCAATTCATTAATTACGCTCCATAGCTACGCATAGCTCATTGTGAACAATTCAATTTGACTTTCAAATAAATAAAAAAACGTCTGACCAAGTCATTAGTTTGCATTCGTCTTTTTACTGCAGGCTTCAGGTTATGAAAAAATTCACAACAGCAATATTTAAAAGAACACTGATAAAATATACTCTTTATTAAAAAGTATAATGATTCGTTTTCGTGCGTTTTGTATAATGATTAGTAATATGTACACAATATTGAAAAAAAGCTTTTTCGCTGTCTTACGGAACGCTTTGATTCATTTGAATTTTATTAAAGAAAAAAAAAAAACAATTTACTGACTGTTAATTCAAAATTGAAGTCACAATGATATTGTAAATGGTAGTCAAATTGTCTTATTTCAAAAATACCTATGAAATTTTACAGATTTACAAGTTAAAATGTAAAAAAATTTTACATTATTATAGAAGACTATAAATAGATACCTTATTTATCTTAATTTATCTTTAACCCAGCTTTTAAAATATTTTAAATTTGTTTCATCTATATCATGACTTGCTGAATTAATAGCTAACATTCTTCCTTTGACACCCAATGTTTGGAGTTTGTTAAAAGTACTTTCACCCCACTGTAAAGGTACGACATTATCTTCTATTCCGTGTAGCATTAGTAGTTCTGGATACTTTGTGGAACTGTCAAATTTGAGAGACTAAAAAATATATGATTTAGTTAATTACTTTTGTTGCTAATTCAAGGATAACATCAGTTATATATTTTGTCATTACCTCATAAACCAATGACTTTTCACTCAAAAATGAAGATATGGCAACGCAACCACCTAAACCTCTTTTGAACCTGTAGGCTAAGTGTAGAGCCAAACACCCACCCATTGAAAAGCCTCCAATGATAATCCTGGATGGAGGAATTCCACCAGCAATTTCTCTATGAATTAGTTCAGAAGCTTTATTGCACATTATGTCAATAGAGTGCTTTAACTCTGGTGCATCAATTGATACATTCCTACGATCGAACCAGATATTGCTTGGCTGCAACAAAATTTTAAAATAAATTGAGCATAAAAATAACTGCTACGACAGAGAGCTATTAATTCTTCTTCAAAAATATTTGAATAATGAAATGCTCGAGTCAATTAATAGAAGCTCCATAATTTTGTTATCAACAAAACAAAACAAAATTACCAATCCTCCATTTGCGGTGTAAGTCTGAATTGGAGCAGTTGGGTATATAATTTTAATGTGAGGAAATCTGAGTTCTTTTCTGTTAAGGATGTCCAGCCATTGCTTAAAATCTTCTCCATTTCCACCTGATGTCAGAATGCAATCAGACGACGACACAAAGCCAAGTTGAGGAAAAAAACGAAAAAGAAGCGTTAGTATTGCAACAGAATTGTGAAAGATAATAGAAAATATGTCATATTTTATCAAAGAAATTCAGTGATGACAACAAAAAAGTGAGGAGGTTAGGTCGAGCCGGTTTACAGGTACAAGTTACGAACCTTTAATGCAACGACCTATATGTGCATTGGAGCAGGGTTCACTGCTATTAATTGCTCATGTAAACGCTTGCATTCACATAGCGCAAGTATGCATAGTGAAATTTCGAAAAAAAAAAAAAAAAGAAAAGGGGAGCTAGAGAATATACAGTGCCGGAAGACTCACCGGAACCATGAAAGAGTATGAGCGTGGCTGTGTTGGGTCGCTCGGACTTGACGATGTTTGCCCGTGGTATGTGTATACGAAGTGGAAAAACCTTCTCGTCGTCCACTTCGGTCATGGTTCCGTGGGCTGAGCTGGTCCTTCTTTCAGTCGAAATTCTGCCGAACGGGGCTGGCGCTGCCACGTATCAAAAAAAAATAAATAAAAACGGGATGGCTCCTCTCACTGATCGCACTCGCAGCTGACCGCTGTTTATACCCTGTTGAACGTCCTGTAATGCGTTCTCTCGTAAGTGTGCGTGAGTGTGTGTGAGAGCAGCTACGCCGATCTGCGAAAAGATAATATCCCTTTTGCGCGCAGCGCAGCAGTTTTTGCTGCTGCTGTTGCTGCTGCTGCTTCCCCGTGCAGCTATATATCTCTCCGAGAAGACAAAGTTGTTCTTTCGACTAACCGCTCTCTCTCTCTTTCTCTTTCTCTCTTTCTGTAGCTCGCGACTGTGCCGCGCTCGCCACACGCAGTATTATGATTGTGTTTATAATAAACAACGCCGCTGTCACTCCGCCGCTGCCCCTTCCAAAATTCGATGGTTCACGCGCGGCTGGCCTGCGATAAAAAAAAGAGTATAAAATTTTCACGAGGAAAAATTCAGCAATTTACACACACACACACACAGGGTTCATCTCTCAATGTTATAATGCACAGTAGCTGCAGCCTATAATGCGGTGCATATGCACTGTGTTGTGGGTACGGCAAGGCTCCACGCTATACTCTCGGACGACTCGAGAGGAGTTTCGTAACAAAAGCTATTGCAAACGATTGAATTGATCGAAGCTCGGTCGAAAGTCCGGGTTTTACGTGTATATAATGCAGCGCGTTTCTATTACATATACCAACCTAATCTACCATAAGTAAAACTGCTTGATTTTTTCTGCTACGTACTGTATAATACACGGCTGTACGTGGCGCGCTTAGCCAGCGCTGTCCGAGCTTTTGCTGCACCACCTAAAAATGCTATCAGCACTAATGGTAAGTACGCACGAGGTGCGGAGTGCAAAATCGGAGTTTGGACAAAAGGCATCAAATAACGTAGACGCACAAGCAGCTATCCAGCGTATACCTATATAGATGTAACGATTGGCAAGACAGGCGCAGCACAGCACAGCATAGTCAGCGGCGGCAGCAGCAGCAGCAGCAGCAGCAGCGACAGCAGGCCGACAGTGCATGTGTAGTGAGTACTGTGTACGTGCAGGGTATGAGTACGTGTGTTGGTGCACACATGAGATGGACAGACGCGAACAGTCGACTGGCTGCGCGCAGCAGCGACAATGACCAATCGTACGATTCGATGACCCCCGAACACGCTCGACGCCTATGCCTGACATTTTTTCTGCATGAATATACGTACTGCACTGCACGGCTAAAGGCGGCCTATACTTCACTATATGTATATATCGAGGTATATGCACACACCAAACTGACACACGATCTTATACGTGATATATATGTTGCATGCAAAATACATCGGTCGTACATATAACGTGAGACTTGAGACGAAAACTTGGCTTCTCGCTGGCGATTAATTTTTTTTTTTTTGCTTCTTTCAACGATGTTTCGGGGCAAGCGAGTCTGATCCCCTATTCCAACGAGATTTTGGAGTTTTTAAAGCGACTGCCTAGCTGGTGAAGAGTTTACAACAAAATATGCAAGCTCACCATGAATCGAAAGTTTGAATAACTCGAAATTTAATTCGAAGCTTTGTTCGATTCTTGGTTATTTATATTTTGAATTACAAAAGGCTGCTCTACGACGACTAGCCGAAGCTGCACGCGGGTAAGTTTCGTGTGACGTTTGTTTACGCAAAGGTACACAGTAGGTAAATTAATTAACAAGCCAATTTACTCGAGATAGTTTACCATTATAATAGCATAGCTTTACATTTTCACGGATTCATTCTGGAAAGTGAAGAGAAGGAAAAAATTCACGTTCACGTATGCACTCACACGCATTCGACCGGATACTACGATATATGCAAGTTATGTAACGAGCCTCGCATTGTGCACTGCGTTTTTGATCGTTATCGCGTTGATTATTTTCAGGTATAAAACCGATATTCGAAGATCGATATATTGGAACTGCAGAAGCATCGGCGGAGCAAAGGATAATGGAAACGAAGCAACGTCGCGATACGTAACCGGCTGCACTTGACTCGAATCGCGGCACTTTTTACCTGCCCGCAGGCAGCACGTGTTCGAACGAGCAGATTCACACGCGCAATTTTTTTTCGCTCAATAATGCATTACCTCGAATATATCACTCGTAAACGATGATCATTTTGGCACGAGGCGGGAGCGACTAGTATCACTTGTAGGAGTCAAGTCCGCACTGGTGAAAAAGTAACAACAGACTGACGACGAAGACGACGACGACGGACCCGCGCTGAATTATGCGACCAAGTTGTCTATCTCGGCGCGTATATACATCGCGTTATAGGCTATGGAGAAGCAATTGACAATCGCGCGCAGCACGTATTAACTGCAAGCAACAATGTCTAATGCGGCTCTGCATATGTACATTATGAAAGATTCTCGCTATACATGTATATGCGAGGCAGTGCCCTTCAAAGCTCGCTGAATATGTGGAACGACACTGGATATAGTGGATACTGCACTCGTGCACTAGGCTGTATACTCAGAACAGAGCTCATGTATTATTGTATGTTTTATAATTTGGATGTCGCTGTGTTATTTATTGACATGTTCTCGTTAAACTATAGGATATTAGAAGAGGTTCGCAATACTATGCGTGTCACGTGCATCAACGACGATGGTCAAGTTCAAACTCGTTGAAATGATGTATACCCGAAACGAGACGCCGTTGAGACTTTCAACTTAAAGTTTTTTATATCAAATTGCAGTTTGATTTCAGGATCAGTTATGCGCGCGATTGGCAAGAAAATTAGGAGTCATAAAAGTTCATTTTTACCCGGGCTTTCAGGCAACTCGAAATATATTCTCAACGTAAAATTTGAGATTTTTATATTTTATTATCAAAAATGTTAAGAAATTTTGACCTGGAAAGTTAAATTAGTTGAAACGAGCTTTTAACGTCGGTTAATTAATATTTATTTTGGTCCATGATTAAAATACATTGTAAATAGCTATTTTCAAAAGCTAAGAAAAATGAATAATATTTCAAAATTAGGCACAATAAACAACGGTGTACTTTAACATAGAGTTATTTTGATGAAACCGTTGTACTTATAAGAATATCACTCTTTTTTCTACTATTACGATTTCTTGTTACTGATCCTCGACTTCCCAATTGTGAGTAGAAATGGCAGTGGGTTTCGAGCTATATCCAAAATTATAATTGTTACTATCACGGCCATCATTTTCTTGTTGAAGTATTGTGGTTTCTATTAATTGTCTAAGCTCCCCCATCTTTTTCGACATCTCTTCATGCTTCTGTATCTGACTTGGGGTGAGCGTTTGAGCATTAAAAAAAAAGGCAGCCATCATACAGTCTTCGAATCGATTAGTTGCATCTAAATATGCTGTAACTATTTGTTTCATACATTCGTCATAGGGCGTTTGCGCTATCACACCAAGTACAGTCAACGCGTCGACTTCACTGTTACAAGTTGAAGGGATTTCGTCTGAAAATAAGCTTGAATCATCTTCGCTTGAACTTTTATCTGCTTCTCTGATATCATTTTTTTTCATTGTTTTATAATCACTAATAAGATGAACTTCCTGTCTCAATAAGTTTGAATAATTTTCGTCAACTTTGAATGAAACAGTTTTGCGAATCTTGATCGTTTTTCCAACATCTTTTGTCTTGGACAATTGAGAAACAAAAGATCTATTTTTCATGGTAAAAAAAGAAGTCAACTCGGTACAAGATCAAACTTGGCGAACTCGAGACGCGCACTCTGTGACTGCAGGATCGCAACTGGGCTTGTCGTTGATCGTAGCTCGATATCCTGTACCTGCCACTGGCAAAGACAAACTCGTGTTCACCGGTCCGGTCCGGCAGTCACCAGCGCCCAGTGATACACACGCACTGAACACTTCTGCCCTCTGTGTGGATTTTGAACACTAAAAGTAGCCGTCTTACCTCAGTTCGCATCTGATGCTGTTATTTGAAGTTACATTGATCTGCCAAATCTCATACGTACGATTTGCAAATGCGAAGCAGAATAATAATTTGAAATTATTTATTGCGATTCGTCAATAAGAATATAAAAATTTCTTTTAGTGTAGACAACTAAGAAAAGAGTGAGAAAATGTCGAAAAAATTAATCTCAAATAATCACATTGAGGTATCCAAATTCGATAATGAATTCTAACTTGTAATATCTTCTTATCAATCGTCACATTAGAATTAAAACAAATTCAACGCATGTTAAAGTAATCTTTTCAGTTTTCATCAGAAACGAAGCCGAAGTCGAAGCCCATTTAATACAAACCGCGCTCGTGTTCTGACGAATCAGAAGCAAAACAAAAAAAACATGTGTTCCACGACGTTTGATGGATTTCGCGCGAGGTGTGCGTCCAAAACAAAGGAGTAGCGCGTGACATCATTGCATTACTTTTCAGAAGGAGAGAGAGAAAGAAAAAAAAAGGAGAGTCCGAAATATGTGTCGTGTCGTTCGCACGTAAAATTCGGATATTCATACGGAGCTAATTTTAATAGGAATTTTAGCTGGACGATTCGCGCGCGACGACGCGAGTCGCACAGTTACTCGGGCACATAAATACAGGTATACAAGTGTCATGTGTTTGTGAAAAGGCCGGCTGACACGCAGAGGCCCGCGGACATAATATAGCTCTCGCAGATACACAAGACGCCGCCCGCCGCCGCCGCCGCCACGCATGTACACACACACACACACACACACACATAGTTCGGCGCGTAATATACGCTTTTACAAGGACAAAGTGACATGAGTAAGCGCGAGCTCAAGCAACAGTCAACTCGTGTTCGAAAATTCGTGTGCGGCTAAACGCTCGTCTATATTAGCTTCGTATCCTTCACTCGTCGCGCGAGCTCGCGTTGTTCTTGTTCTGTGATACACAGTGTTGTGTGTTGGTTCTGGTGCATCGTGCTCAAGCAATTGTGAACTTCTCGTCGACGGTGTGCAACGATCACGCAGAAGAAAAGTATACGGAGCAGCCATGCCCTTCAGGACAGGTGAGTTTCGCCGACATTTCGCATTTGATCGAGGATTATTACACGCATGCTGCGCGCTCGAGTGTGGTAAAATCGATTCACTGATCTACCGAATACGGAGTCTCGCGCGAAGCAACGTCTAAATAAGCAGTGCGGCATTAAGGCCGTGCAAAATCGGCGATTCGACGACTGTTCTGTTGTAATACCGTATATATGCGATAGCGTAGTACGCATCAACCGGCGCGCGCCAATTCGTCTGTCGAGGCCTGCGCAACGCGCGCCAGTTCCTCCGATACTCCGTACCCGTATCTCTGTATTACATATAGGTATATATACACAATGCTACAGCGGTGAACTATAACCTGAAAATCCTTCCCGAGAGTCTCGGCGATCCCCTCCATCGTAAGGCCGCGCACTGCACAGTGCACACAATCGCACACAAACAGCGCAAACGTCAAATTCACCTATTGTACATAGCTACATATATAGAGGCGTCGAGCGCGAGAAAGAGCTGAAAGATACATACGATACTAGTAGCCCTCTTGTGTGTAGTCGTCCTTGTGTTATGCACAAGCTCGCCATAGAGATGACTGCCGCACAACTACCCAAGGTGTGTGCATCGGCTCCTCGGTGTACACCAAGCTCTCGTTCTTGATCGTCGCGTATTTCATAATGAGAACTCGCCGTGATCACTCGAAAGTTAAATTGATCTAATTTTTCCCACGTCCGGACGATCGTTGAACTTTGAAAATCGTGTGTCAGGTAGAAAATTTTCGACTCCGAGTTGAAGAACTTCAGCTGTTTCTGCTGCTGCTGCTGCTGCCACTGCTGCCCACTGCTGTTGTTGTTGTCCTCGTAATTCATCGCGGAGAGCAATAACCCCTTGGGTGCAGCCCAAGAGAACTGGAGGAGCTCCTCTCTGGTAAAATTAGACTCCAATTTTCAATCAATATTATCCTATCACTAACGTTTTTCTGGCCCTT